CTCTCTTTAACATCACTGCTCCTTTTCCTCCCCATCACCCTCTCTTTTACATCTCCTTTCTCCCTTTTTCCTCCCTTTCACCCTCTCTTTTATATCACTGCTTCCTTTTCCTCCTTTTTTCACCCTCTCTTTAACATCACTGCTCCCCTTTTCCTCCACATCACCCTCTATTTTACATCGTTGTTCTGTTACCGTTCCCCTATCACTCTCTTTTACATCGCTTCTCCCTTTTCCTCCCTTTCACCCTCTCTTTATATCACTGCTTCCCTTTTCCTCCACATCACCCTCTCTTTTTACATCGCTTCCCTTTTCCTCCCTTTCACCTCTCTTTTATATCACTGCCTTTTCCTCCCTTTTCACCCTCTCTTTTACATCACTGCCCCTTTTCCTCCTTATCACTCTCTTTGCATCGCTGTTCCTTTTTCCCTATCCCCCTTACCTTTTTTTTTCTTTCTTTCTCTCCCTTTCAGATCTCGTCTTTTCTTCTTTTACTTCCTATTGTTTTTCATCTATTTTTTGTCCTTCTTCGTTGTTTCTGTCTTCATCCTATTTTTGCTAATTCTTCTTGTACCCTTTCCGCCTTCTTTCTTTCATTCTTTCCCTTATCTCCTTTTTCCTCTCCGTCTTCCCACCTTTGTTTTATTTTTTATATCCTTCGCTTACCAACTTTCTCTTCCTTTCTTCTTATTTCATTAATTTCTTTGTCGTTCTTTTCTTCTTTATATTGAATTGCGATCATTGACGAAAAATTATGCCATTTTTTTGTTTCTTTTCTGTCCCATCTTTTGCATCTTTGCCTCCACACTTTCATGTTCCTCTCACTGATGTCCTTCCTTCCTTCCTTCCTTCCTTCCTTCCTTCCTTCCTTCCTCAACCTTTTTTTTTCCGCTCATTACCTCTAACTCCGAAACCTCCGATTTCCGTCCTCTTATCATTCCGATATTTTTATTTTCATTCTGATGTGGTATCCCCTTCATTCTCTCAACATCGCAGATTTCCTCTGCAATCAATGTAATTTTCTTATTCCTCTCTCTCTTCCACTCTCTCTTCCCTCTCTTTCTTCCTCTTCCTCTACTCTCCATATATATATATATATATATATATATATATATATATGTATCAAACGCTATCCTTCTCTCTCTCTCAACATTTAATATCACTCACTTTCTCCCCATTCCTCTCTGTCTTTCAACATTTCTCTCTTTCTTTCTATTTCATTTTTATTCCCAGATAATTTTCCCTTATTTGGCAATTTTTTCTCTGTTTATTCACTTACACACACACACACACACACACACACACACACACACACACACACACATATATATATATATATATATATATATATATATATATATATATATATATATATCCCCGTTCATTCCCTCTCAGTTTCTCAGTTTAATTTTTCTTTTGCATGTCACTATATTCAATATCATTGCGCCCCCCTCTCTCTCTCTGTCTCCATCATTTAAAGCTTTATTACCCTTAGACCCTTTAACCTTAGAACATTCCTCTTTATTCTCTTTTCATTCTCTTCTGATTCCCTGTCTTTTTTCCGACATCTTCCATGATTCCGTCACCATTTCTTCTCTCCCCTGTCGTTCCCCAGCCTTACCCACCGACGTTCTTCATCCCTACCCATCTCTTCTTGTCTCTCTTCCTTTTATGACCATACCAGCTGCTGCAAGTCCCACACCCTATCGTTTAGCGCTCTTTCTCACCGCCATCGCCGCCTTCCGTCGTCCGGTAATCCGTAGTCACAGCCCGATTAGCGCTATCCGACCGGCTGGACATTGCCGTGCTCGTAGAAGAGGGCCCAGAGCCAGCGGCATCTCTTCGGCAACAAATGCCAATCATGCGGAACTACCATTTTCACATAACGCACGCTTTGATTCGACGCAGTTACTAGCGGCTCAACAATCCGGCCCAGTGAAAATTACAGCCAAGCAGAAAGTCTTCGGATCGAACAAAAAGCTAATCGTTAGTTTTTTGTCGTTTTTCTTGTTTTTATTTTTCCTCTTGGCTTTCTTTTTTTTTATGTTTTCCATATTTACTTCATATTTTTTTTTTTTGTCTCTTCTCGTTCTGACATTCGTGATTTTCTTCGTTTCGATATTTCTCATATGAATTCTCGTTCGTTTCTCGAAATTTCTTATTTTGTTACTTTTTTTCTTCTATTTCTTCCGTTTTGTTGTTTCTTTACATTTTCATATTTTAGTTTTTCTTCGTTTTTCTCTTTATATTCCTTTCTTTCTTTTTCTATTTTTCCTTTTCTTCCTATCATCTAAAGTAGTTTTCTCTATTTCTTTCTTTCTTTTCCTCTTCTAACTTAATTTTCTTTTTTTTCTTTCTTTCTTTCTTTCTTTTTCTCTTCTAACTTAATTTTTTTCTTTCTTTCTTTCTTTCTTTTCCTCTTCTAACTTAATTTTCTTTCTTTCTTTTCCTCTTCTAACTTATTTTCTTTCTTTCTTTCTTTCTTTCTTTCTTTCTTTTCCTCTCCTAACTTAATTTTCTTTCTTTCTTTCTTTCTTTTCCTCTTCTAACTTAATTTTCTTTCTTTCTTTTCCTCTTCTAACTTAATTTTCTTTTTTCTTTTTTTCTTTAACTTCTTTTCTTTCTTTCTTTCTTTCTTTCTTTAACTTTTTTTTTTCTTTCTTTCTTTCTTTCTTTTATTTTCTTTCTTTCTTTCTTTCTTTTCTTTTTCTAACTTAATTTTCTTTCTTTCTTTCTTTCTTTCTTTTTTCCTCTTCAAACTTCTTTTTTTTTCTTTCTTTCCTTCAAACTTTGTTTTGATTTCTTTCTTTCTTTCTTTCTTTCTTTTCCGCTTCTAACTTAATTTTCTTTCTTTCTTTCTTTCTTTCTTTCTTTCTTTCTTTCTTTCTTTTTCCTCTCCTAACTTTTCCCGTCTTTCGTTTTTATTCTAATATTTATCTTTTCATTTTCTGTTTTCTACACTAACATTATTCGCCACATTTTTTTAGTGAGTAGATTGCTTTAAAATTTTTCTTCACGATTTCCTTTTACTTTTCATAGATATTTTACGATCCTTTTTGTTTTCTTTGTATTATTTTCTCTTCTTTTTTTTCTGAAACTTCCTCTTCTTTCTGCACAATTTTACTTCTTTATTCCTCTTTTCACAAAAGAGTTCCAAGCCCGGATTTTTTTTTTCACTTTCACACGAATCTCTAACTTTTATTTCTACACCTTGTGTCGCGCCACTCGTCATTTTTCTTTGATTTCATTTCCGTCCTTTCTTTCCTCTTCCTCACCGCTTGAATCTCATCTTCTATTTCCAACCGCATTTTTCTTTTATTGGTTTATCTCGTTCCCCCCACCCCTTCTGTTGGACTTTGCCTCTTGTCTTTGTATTCTCATGATTTCTCGTGATTTCTCGTGATTCCTCTCCTCATCTTCGTTCGTAGTCATTTTTCTTTATTCCTTTATTCAACTTTCTTTATTCACGGCCAATACACATTTTCATTCTTTTGCAAGATTGTCTGGAGGTTAGTGCTTTGATTGAATATATATATATATATATATATATATATATATATATATATATATATATATGTATGTGTGTGTGTATATATATATATATATATATATATATATATATATGTAGGTATGAATACTGAACACACAAAAATACACGTATACATACACACACGCACATATAATAAATAAATATATATATTATATATATATATATATATATATATATATATGCCTATATATTTATGTATGTATGTATACTGAACATGCATAAACACACGCATACATGCACACACATGTATATAATATAGATATTGTCTTCATGTGTGTATATATATATATATATATATATATATATATATTGATACACATAAAGTCTTACAAACACACAGGTGTATACACATATATATATATATATATATATATATAATATGTATATTATTTTTATGCTCTATTTGTGGGTATATTGGATTAATGGATACCCCGGCTCGGCATTGAGCAATTGAACACAGTCTCTCCATTAGATTCACCATACTTGAAATAACTTGGGAATGAAACTCTTTTTACGGGTAAATATCAGCACAGACCGGTACATAGCCTTGATTTAAACTGGTCTACCGCAGAAATAAATGGTAAACTACTGCGGGAAATATCGAAAGATACATGATCGCCTAAGCGTGTATTATGGGTAAAAGAGTCCAATATTAGGGATAGAGCGTATGTCAGTAGAAAAGTGGACACTAGGATCCGCATTAAGCAGCGACAGTCCGTTTCATTCTTGAACGCAATCTTCAGACTTCGAAGAGAATCAAACTCTGTCATAAGAAGTCATGGTTAATAAACTTGAGCAAAACCCAAATTTCGCACGAATAAGAAAATAAATAATGTGTTGTCTGAATTTATTGTTCCAAATTTGAATTTTGTTTACATTAATACTATTCACCCAAAACGCTTATAGTGTTACAGAAAATGAGTGACCTAATTTCTTTAACAAAAGAAGACAGGTGAGAGGCGACAAGCTAGTCTTGAATCTAACAATTTCTAATAGATTTGTCAGACCACTATCGAGGGTGTATAACATAGTCCTTCAATAAATAATAGAGACATTGTATTGACCAAGTTTTAATATTCGCTAAACCTGTTGTTAGTGTTATTAACAGACTTGTCCATTGCATTACAGCCTTGATTGTCGTCGCTGTATCGGGCGTAAAGAATCAACTTGCCACGACCGTAGTCAAGAATTGTCCATTTCTTATATGCGTTTTTATATATATATATATATATATATATATATATATATATATAGTGTCATGCGTGATACACGTTTAGACGATCATGTATCTTTCGATGCATGACTGACAAGGCAAATTTTTTCTCGCAGTAGGTTTCCATTTCTTTCTGCGGTAGACAAGTTGCCATCCAAAACTATAGAACCCAGTCTGTTCTGCTATTTACCCATAGCTGGAGAGAGAAGAAGAGGATTCATACCTTTCCCAAGGGTATTAGAACGTAAGTGAATGCAATGGATTCGACTGGAATTCGAACTTGGCTCTCCGATTCCTCAATCCGAGCTGCTAATTTCGATCTAGCACTAGACATGCCCACTTACTTGATGTCAAATAGAGTTTTCAACGTATTGTTTTCTGACAAATCAATAAACTTCATTTGTAAAACCTCAGTAACCTCTGATATGTTAGGTGAGGCTGAAAAGCAAGTTTCAGGTTGAAATTACGCTTTTCAAAATCAGCGAGTGTTCTGCTGTATTCTTCTACAAGAAGCGGGGTTGTGGGCATGACATCTAAATCTTCAGCTCGAACTCCGGCTCCGGCTCCGGCTCCGGCTCCAACATTTTGAAATTTCTGACTCCAGCTCCGGCTCCCAGCTCTAGATAGTCTCGCAGTAATGATTGATATTCCTTACTAAAATTGGTCCTTGCTCATAGGCCATAATAGACTGCTATTAATCTAAATTCTAGTTGATATACCTCTGCCTTTGCTAATCTCTTATTATTGATTATAATATAATCAATAATTGATTATTGATAACAATATAAAATTAGCAACATATTTTAATATTTTTATCCTTTGTTAATTCTAAGTTCAATGTTTCAGTGAAAATTTCAAAGAACAAATAATGTTAAAAAATATAAAGTTCATTTTTAACTGAAGTGGTGTGAAATTAGTATCGATAGATATGAAAAGAGCCAATGTTGAAAATATTTAGTTACTCAGGTTGAAAAGTAGTAAGTAGGTTGGTAACAAGATGACGTATACTTTTACCAAGCAGCGTTTTTCGCTGGTCGAAGAGAACGGAATTCGATTTTTTTTTTTATTACAGCAGTCCTTAGTTCGGTTAGAGTTCTTCTTGTACAGCAGAAGTTTTTCTTTGTAAATGAGTCGTAGAAATAAATTTGTCATCAATGTTCTGAGAAGCCAACACTTAAATTGAGTTACATTTGCATCCTTCTACGTTCAAGTCTCTTCCTTTGTTTACTGACTTATGTTGTCAGCACTTTGTATTAGTTTATATGACAGTTTATTTTCCCGCACCAGCTGGTGAATTTATTTTTCTCTAATTTTCCAAAAGCGATGCTTCTCAGTGGTTGAATATTTATTTCTAACATAGGCTCGAGAATTTCTTTATTTGTTTCTCTAGTTTCTCCAAGGCGAGCCTTCTCGTTTATTGAATATTTATTTCACACCTAGTCGTGAATTTCTTTTCTTGAATTGGTAATCTCGCAAGCTAAGCTAGAGAAGTCTTATTTTTATTTTTTTAAAAACTTTTTACTCTCTACAGTAGTCATGAATATTATGAAGGGCCAACTGATAAGTTGTGTTACGTTTGCATCGTTCTATGTCGAGGTCTCTCCTATTTTTTTTTTACTGTCTTCTGTCTGTTGTCAACACTGTATCAGTTTAGGATTAGGGTTAATTTTTTCGCACCAGCTGGTGAATTTCATTTTGTTTTCTCTCTAATTTCACAAACGCGATGCTTCTCAGTGGTTGAATATTTATTTCTAACATAGGATCGAGAATTTTTTTTCTCGGTTTCTCTAGTTTTTCTAGACCTCTCGTTAGTTGAATAAATACTTCACACCTAGACGCGAATTTTTTTTTTTTTTTTTTTTTTGAATTGGCGATTTCGCTGGCTAAGCTAGGGAAATTTTCTTTTTCCGGCTTTTTTCTTTTCTGCTCTTTACATTAGACATACTTACGGTAAGAAAATAATTAAATAAAAACACTGATAAGAGATGATTTGAATTTTGTGGTCTTTTTTCTAGCTAGAAATAATTTAATTTTTTTCATACGGTATATACGATTTTTTTCTTTAAATATTTCTATCGAGTTTTTCTTATCATGGAAAAAAAGAAGAAAACAAAGGCAACTAGCTAAAATTGTTAACAAGGGAAAGGTGAAAAATTAGCCAAGGCGTGACCATCAGAGACACCACTAAGTCACTAACGAAAACTGTTGTTACAAACAGAATAATAATAGTGTGATGATATATATAATTTTGCTATAAAGATCTTGATGGTTCCAAGTTAACATCAGAGGAGAAACCTTAGACAACTAAAAACACATTAGTAATGCATTTTTCATCACCAGTAACACCAACTTAGAATTATGAATTTAATTATTGCTGAGAAAGAGGAAAATTTATTGTGAACTTTTAGTTAAGTGAGTGGAGCTGGAGCAAGTACACTTTTCGCTGGCTCCAACTGGGTCTAAATTATTTGGCTCCACAGCCCAGCTCAAAAGTTGCAGAAGGCCGCAACTGATGACCCAGAAGGCCGCAGGTTCCCCACCCGTGCAATAGACCTTGCTACTCATAATGCACCCCTATCGAGCCAAAACACAATACACATGGCGTAAATATTGCTTTCAAGTATGAAACAGGCTGACGCCTATAGGTTTCGATTTTTATTTTCACATACGCTCTATCTTTCTCATCAGGAACACCACTAAAGCATCATATTAATGTAGCATCCCACGTTAGATATATATATATATATATATATATATATATATATATATATATATATATATATATCAACAAATATGATTCTATTTTAATTTTTATATGTATATATATTTCTATAAGCTTACATATGCGAGGCACGTTAGAGTAATTGATTGAGGAATCAGAGAGCCGAGTTCGAATTCCAATCGAATTCTTTGCATTCACTTACGTGCTAATACCCTTGGGAAAGGGATGAATCCTATTCTTCCCCACCCCCCATATCCAGCTATGAGTAAATAGCAGAATAGACCCGGTTCTCTAGCCTTGGATGGCAATTGGTCTACCACAGAAAGAAATGGCAATCTACTGCGGGAAAAAAATATGCCTCGTCAGTCATATATCGAAAGATACATGATCGCCTAAGCGTGTATCACGCATGGCACATAACTGACTGGTATTCCGTACTTCTTTTTTTCCACGCTTTTTAAGAAGAAAGATATTTTCTCATTTAGAGCAGCTATTAATTAACACCGCGCACACATCCTATCTTTGAGATAGAATAAGCAAATTGACTTCCGTTAAATATATTATATATATATATATATATATATATATATATATATATATATATATATATATATATATATATATATGTATCTATTTTAACACAAAAATAGCGCAGTCTCGGATTGAGGAATCGGAGAGCCTGAGTTCGAATTCACGGGTTTTCAAATCCATTAGATTGAGTTACGTGCTAATACCCTTGTGAAAGGTATGAATCCTCTTCTCCTCCTTCCCAGCTATGGGTAAATAGCAGGACAGATCGGATTCTATAGCCTTGGATGGCAACTGGTCTACCACAAAAAATGCGGGAAAAAATCTGCCTCGACAGTCTAAGCGTGTATCACGCATAGATTTAAGAAAGAAAAATGCGAGCCTGTATATGATCTGAAGTGATAAAATATGAGCCACTACTACCTAATAATTTGTAGATCCTGCCTTCACCTGAATGACGCTGGTTAGACGATGTGGGGCTAAATGCGTGTATTATATATATCCAGGCACGTTCCAATATTGTTCATAGCTGCGTTGCGTTTGTTGTGTGTCCCCATAAATGCTCAATGGGGTTTAAATCTGCTGAGAGGAATGACTAATAGATTACGTTGAAGTCAGGAGTGTTTCTCTTACCCGTGGAAGAATGCGCGCGCATTATCAGATTGGAGCAACCCATCACAAGCAGAAAACATAGCTAGCATAAACGGGTAATAAAAGATCTGGAACACGTTCTGTGTATGTAAAACCTGATATAGCAGAACCAGATTTCACTGACGTTCCTTGCAAAATCCAACAAAACGAAATTCACATAATTACAGAACCACCACTAGCTCGCACAACATCCCTTGTTAATAGTCAGGAACCAGAGCTTTATGTGGTCTCCCCTTCGCACACCTGATCAACTGTCTGTGCGAAAAAGCGGCAAGTGTGAGCGCATCTAACCTCATGTGATACAGCGAGTCTTCCATCGTCTTCTTTTTTTTTCCCAGACGAGATGCAGCAGTTGGTGCTGTGCTTTAAATAATTGTTGATGGTTGACGTCTACGAAACCACACAAAAAGTTGTTGGTTAAGTTACTCCTCCCAATTACAAGCCATCTTTCCTATCAACGGCTCGTGTCCCCAAATTTACATGGCCGTTTGGAACTGAGAGATTTCATAGATACAATTTGGGAATGCTTTCGTCTATAACATCGAGTAGTTACCACATCGGTAGTGGAATTTCCCATCAATAATTAAGAATCACAAGGTTTTTTAAATCCGATCAGCATGTACTCGAAAGTACAATTATACGGTGGATTAATGGATAGCAGCTCGAATTGAGGAATTGGAGAGCCGAGTTCGAATCCCAGTCGAATCCATTCACTTAGGTGCTGAAACCCTTAGGAAAAATATGAATCTTCTTTTTCTCCCCCGCCAGCTATGCGTAAATAGATGGCAACTGGTCTACCGCAGAAAGAAATGGCAACTTACTGCGGGAAAAAAAATCTGCCTCGTCAGTCATGTATCGAAAGATACATGATTGCGTAAGCGTGTATCATGCATGACACATAATTGAATATTTGTAATTAAAATGTTCAATATGGAAGAAGCACTGTGAAATAATGGATAGCGGCTTGGATTGAGGAATTGGAGAGCCGAGTTCGAATTCCACTCGAATCCATTATATTCACTTACGTGCTAATACCCTTAGGAAAGGTATGAATCCACTTCTTTTCCCTCTAGCTATGGGTAAATAACAAGACTGACCGTGTTCTATTTGCCTTGGATGGCAACTGGTCTAACGCAGAAAGAAAAGGCAACCTGTCGCGGGAAATAAATCTGCCTCGTCAGTCATGCATCGAAAGATACATGATTGCCTAAGCGTGTATCACGCATGGCACATAACTGACTGATCTGGGCTCCTCGGCGTGGTGTAATGGTTAGCGAGGTTGTCTCGCTGAAACGATTACGACTGAATAGTGAGTTCGATCCTCACTAGGTGCTCCATG